TTCTCAGTGTCATCCCGTGTAAACCCGCTGATTTCGTCTCCAGAGCATTGCGGCTATCACTAACTAACAGTTCTTGTTTCCCTCCATCATCTCTAACAGTAAGTGGAGCTGTTTGGTGTAAAAAAAGAGTTAATCTACCTAGTATATAATATAATTAATTTTACCTACTAATCAAACAATTCACAAGTACGCATTATCTTCCATCAGATCATAAATTGTATAAAACTAATGTAAATATGAAACTAGTAAAATACGACCTTGGTGATTAACGATGTTTTGTCGGCGAACTAAGAACAGACGGTAATGTTTTAGTTATTAATAACTTCGGATTTGCGTAGAGTATGTAAACATTCGACTCTGAATATATGTTCATTATCAGAGGTAAGATAACTGTATTAATTAAAATCTGCAACAATACATCTATCATGACACCTACATGGGATAGTCATGTACAAAAACCGAAGGACGTAATTAGGCCGCCACGTCGCGATTGAGGGGGGAAGTGTTTTTTCCCCTGGGATAGGGCTTGATTAGGCATCGTGTCAATTCGGGGAGGACCTGAAATAACATGGTCCAGGTCCTCCGTGAGTATAACACCTGAGGGCGGCCGTCGGGGTGGTTTTTAGTAGAATCACCACATACTCCTGGCTTCTGAGTCCCCGAGGAGCAGGAGATCCGAAGGGATTTTCGTCCCCGCCAACAAAAAAAAGTACAAAAACCGATGAAAAGCAGTTCTGTTGGTGGTTTTCACCAAGTCAGTGTTCACTCTGAATCTGGGTCCTCCGGGTCCTTAACGCACATGTGACTCTTGAGTTACGAGGACGGCGATAGTTACTTACTATTAGGTGCCCGTCTGCACCTTTGCCTTGGGGCCTTGGGGGCCACCATTAACGACATTTAAAGAAGATACTTTACTTCTATATGACTCTTAGAAGAAGGTCAAAATTAATGCACGAAAATTGGATCCAGTTTGCCTTCCCTTCATTGGATTGTTTGGTAGCTATAAACTGGCAACTCAGAACATAAAACTTGAACATTGTAGTCAATATTCATGACGTATACTATACGTAATAGTGCGACAAACAAAGAATTTGTAATCACAAAATCACAAATGTTGTTGTAGACCAATCTTGTTGAAATTCCAATGACAAGCCAAGCGTGACCTGATGACGTCGTGCTCTGAAATACGCGCTGTGTCAATGTGCAAAATTGTTTCTACCAAGTCATTTGCATATCTAGAACACATTTGCTATTTTTAGTTGTTGTTTTGCAGAAAAATGTTCTATTTAAAATGCAGACGAAATTCTCTTATTTAATTTATAAAGCTTGAATCTTCATAAGTCATTAAATAACTAGCAAATTTACACAAACACAAAAAAAAACCCTTCCCGTCCACACTTGCTGCATTGCCGTGTTGAATGACTTCGGTGAGTTTTCGACTAAGCTTCTTAATAAATCTCCTAGTGTCATCACCCAGCTGTCAACGTTAGACATAGTTGAATTAATGTCCCAAGGACCGAACTTCTTCTTCTTCGATACAAATTCAAAGTACCGATTAAAAAAAACCGCATTCTACAATCTCGATGCAGAATAACAGAGTTAAAGTACCTGTGCTATGATACAATCAGGCAATGCGTTTATCTGTTACATCCGTTGTAAATAAACATATGATTAGATTTTATTGGAATTTTTACAGGTGATTACGAAATCTATTTAAGTTAGAAGCAATGCACCTGGCCGGTATTTATTTCTGACCTAATTTATAATATAATCGACTTAGTAATCAATACTTCTCGTGACTAGAAGCCGGGCCTTTTTCTTGCGCAGATAATTAGCATTGCAACATTTGCGGTTCAACGAGGCAATTTTGCCAGCCTTCTAGGAATGCTACTATAAGGCGATGATGCCAAGGATTTGAATCTTATAACTTATATATTTGAAATAAATTATATACTCAGTAATAACGTTCAGTACCAATATTTAATTTGTTATTCCGTCACGAATACCGTTATTCCACGGTCTGATCAGATAAATTGTGGTACACCTTATACTAAATGTCTAACAGTTAAAGTATTAATTTTTGTTCAGTAAGAGATGACGTGGCGTGTGATAGGAGAGGCCTATGTCCAGTAGTGGACTGCGATAGGCTGATGAGCAAGGGGACAGCAGTTCTATAGTAATGAAAATGTAAAAAAAATGATTCAACTAATAATAGAGTTATGGATTTTCGTTACCTAATCGGCTGAACGGCTCCGAATAGAAATTGGCACAGAGATATATTACTTTTAATCAAGAATTAACCAAAAAAGTAAAAAAATTGAAACTAACGCGAGCGATGCTGCGAGTAAAAGCTGGTTAATTTATGACGTGATGAATAACTTTAAGATCAGACGTATTTTAAACTAGCTTTTTCTCTAGGCTCCGCCCGCGTGAAGCCGGTTATCGCGGTGAAGAGTAGTCTATAGCACTCACGGATAAGGTACCTATCTAACGGTGAATGAATTTTTAAAATCAGTTCAGTAGTACCGGGGATTAACCCGAACATACAACCTCACAAACATTACCTCTTTGTTATATTAGTATCGACTTGTATAGATATTTATTTAAAAATGTATAATCGCATAAACGCTTTACTCTGATTAAAAGATATTTTAATGTTTGACCTAATGACTATAAAGGGAAAAAATGAAATAAATTAAAATACATTATCAATTCTAAACCCTAATCCCAACGTATAAAGTGTTTTTTTTAAATAATTATTTGATTATATTAAATAATAAGTATTAAACGATTTAATACACAGTCTATCATTTATATTTTTTAATAATAACCTTGTCATCCAATTTTTTTAAGTGTGGAAATGTTGCCAGAAACCAAAATAAATACTTAGTAAAAGAAAACAGGACGTAACCCGTTTTTATAATGTATTTGGTATTTCGATATTAATATAAAAATTTAGGGTAATGCATTTGTAATTTTCTTTGATATTTAAGTTTTCTTTGAATGTGAAGTGACTAAGTGAAAAATATTAATACGTTTCTGAAGTTGCTGTTAATGCTCATGATAAAGGAGCTTTTCTATTTCTTGTTTTATTTTTCTTGTTTTTCTTTTAAACTAATTATATTATATTTGCCATCCTTTTAAAATAAAACCATTAAAAAATATTATTGATACTTTACTTTGATTCGATACTTAGAGTAACACTTGACTTGTAATACAAAAGATGTAAGTATTTTTTGTAATTAACATTTTATTTTTATAAGAATTTTCTTTTATAAGGATTAGAGCTTAGATTACTTTTTATTATTCAATATATATTCACAAAACGTATTTACTTAAAATTTAAATAACGTTTCCTTAAATATCCCAAGCTATATTTTATAGTTCGCGCTCTTTTGTCTATAGTACGACTTGTAGTGGACTATGCACTTAATAGCATTACTCTATAAACTTTTTGTTTACGTACAAAGCTGTCTTTTCATCCGTCCGGTATTTATTTAAGGAACCTGCGGGATAAGTCATTGTTTGTGAAACATAAACAATTAACATATCCGCTCCTCTTTCACATTTGTTTTCGTTGAATTTCCTGAATGTGTTTGAAAGGAATTGTGTGGAACAAAATTGATTGTTCGAATTTTGTTTTTTTTTTCATCCAAGCCACTGTCATTACATTGACACGCTGTTGAGATGCCATTGACATCGGTTAAAATATCGGTATTCTACTAACATAAATTCACAGTGTCAATAGACTCTCGATATAATAATATAGGTCATCAATGGTGATATCAACAACATTGTCATATCTGAAAAATTATATAAATCATTTTCTTACAAATTTAAAATGTACGGTTTACCAAACTATTACAAAAAGATCGACGACATTTGTATCAGTGACAAGTCATTGGTCATTGATCTTACATAGTTAGTAGAATAAGAAAAGTGCAATACTATTCCGACGACATTCTGTCGACAGTCTATTGATACAATATTAAAATAGCAGAATTGAGACCCAGACGGGTTACCTGATGGAAAGTGACTTTCACCGCCCATGAACGTTTGCAACTCAGGAGTCACAAACGCGTTGTCGGGCTTTTAGGAGTACGCTCTTTTCTTGATGGTTTGAAGGTCGTATCGGTCCGGAAATACCGCAGACGATAACTTATTCCAAAGATTGGTTGTGCGAGGCAAATGTGTCTTGAAAAGCGCACAGTAGAGTGCCAATTATCCAAGTGTTGGGGATGGAATTTTTTTTAATTAATGAATTTTACATGACTAAGGTAGCAATGAAACATACGGCCTATAATTAAAGACGTGAAGAGAATTCTTAGAAAACATTTTGCTCAGAGAGGAATATAAAAGTTAAAATATTTAAAGGACTTTATTTAGACTTTGTTAGATTACTATTTGTAGCGACAAAAGGCTTGAAGTTTCAGTTGGTAAAAGATTTTTTTTTGTCTACAAATCACATTCTACAATATTTTATTAAACACAAGATGGCGGCTTTCCACATTTTTCTTTTACGTAACGTCTTTGATAGCGAAAAAATAACACCGTACGGCCAGTTATTTAAAATAAAACACTGTGTACAATAGAAATAATTCTCATTGATTCATTCTATCGTTGGAGAGTTAAACAATCATTGTTTTAGTTTGATATCAATGGATAGGCGTCATTTGTGTCGTGTGGGCTGTAGTGTCATGCGTTGTGTTGAACAGAGCATCTGTGGGGGGGCAGATTCTGTGAGTGATTTTGCCAATAAATCCTTTTATCACCTCTTTGAAATATTGTGATTGAAAATTTGAGTTTTAACTCGTGTGATAATATATTTATTTTGGATATATATATTTTTACACAAATTTTGTTTTTTTTTTAATACTGACGGCAACTATTTATTTATTATTAATATCAATATTTTCTATTGTTACAGCTTTCAACACCATGACAGCAGACTCCCACGAGTTCTAAATATTTGGGGACTAAGTTAAAAGTAAACAGTGTCTATGTGTGAAAAGAAGTTCTGCGATCAGACGGGTGAAAAGATTGGTGATAAAATGACAAACATCACCCCGGAGACAAGAATCATGATGATGAGGTCCAGTGATGGCAGAAATAGTTACAGAAGACAGGTATGAAAACAGAATTCTTAAAGTTTGATACATTCTTGTATAATTTTAACGGCATGTATTGTCTCTGATCTCTTAATGGTCATAGCGTGATATTATATATTTAAAAAAAAATGTAGTAATGATAGACAAAAAAATGTCCAATATGAATACATGAGAATAGGTACATTATAATACAAAAGCTATTGCTAATTATAAATCTAATATCTTATATATAAAATTCTAGTGTCACAATGTTCGTTCCCGTACTCCTCCGAAACGGCTTGACCGATTCTCATGAAATTTTGTGTGCACATCGGGTAGGTCTGAGAATCGGCCGTCGTAAATCGTTTCATACCCCTAAATGGTAAGGGTGACCCATCTCTAATTTTGTTTTGTTTTGCAATACAACGTTTGCCGGGTCAGCTGGTATAAATATATAAATGTCACGGTGTTTGTGGTCGTACTGCTCCGAAACGGCATGACCGATTTTGATATTTTTTTTGTAAATTTGATAGGTATGAGAATAGGACGTAAATTATTTGTCAGCCTCCTACGGTATACATATGTGTGTGTGTGTGTGTGTGTGTGTGTGTGTGTGTGTGTGTGTGTGTGTGTGTGTGTGTGTGTGTGTTTTATACAACACATCACCTTCTCAGCCGGAAAACGTCCACTGCTGGACAAAGCCCGTCACCAAAAAAACTCATATAAACATATAAAGTCTTTTTTTTTAAAGACTTATAAAGATACTCAGATTAATGCAAATAGACAAATTCATAAATGCAAATGTTTGCACTGCCATGGAAGTGAACCCGCGACCTCCATTGTTAATAAACACCGTCACAGTCCAATAAACACCGCCGTGCATTCATGCAAATAAAATTTTACACTGAACTGGAATCGAATCCATGACCTTTGACGACTCTATTTCCCACCGTTGCGACACAATACTCATCAACTTATAATCAAATATATAGTTAGAATTTAATCTACAATCACAACGGTCACCCATCCCTATGCTGGCTACACCTAACAAACCCGCACCCCGCGATACATTTGAACGAGTGTCACTGAACTGAAAACTATTCCTAACTTCGGGAAACATAAAAAATAGACTAAAAATCCGGAAAAACACTATAAACCTATTTATATTTCCATCAATCTTTTATGATGAATCGTAAACATCAAACAAACATGTCCACCTGGCCATAATTAATAATTAAAATAACTTAATTATTCTTAATTATAAATATTAACTAAATATAGTATCAAAGAAAAATCAATTTAAAAATAAAATAACATATTACTAGAGTTCGTTTAACAATCCGTCAAACTCAGTGACATTAACGGATGCCATCGATTACATGCCATAGAAAAAGACACTTTAAAACCATTAATTTCTGACGCCGTAAAGCTTAATATCCCGTGGATTTTAAATAAATCTAATTTATGTCTACAACGCCTATTCTACTGTTTAAATAAATCTTAGTGCTTTAAAAATAAGGTTGAGATTTGTACATCGGCAATGTACGACAAAAATTGTATTTAGGGATAGAATGTATGGCAGTGTGCCGGTCATTGGCCCGTACAAATGCTTCAGATAGAGTAGGGTTGTACGGGATGTGCATCGAGGTCGATTATCATTTGAAAATAGAACACTCGGGGATGTTGAAATGTGAAGTAATTGTTTTTAGTCAATTGTCGGTTAGTTTCGTTCTTATTTTTAAAATGGCGCCTTATTCATTTTTTTTTCTCGTTTGTTTTGTGTAGGTTTTATATTTTAGAGGGCGCGGTTTTTTTCTCAGTATTCAAAACCTCAATAAACTTTAATATTTCTGTCTTTCTACCTAGCAAAAACTTTTTAATTGCTATAAGTTTTCAAGTGGTTTTCTTCTTATATTTTAATTAATTACATAACATCTGTATAAGCTGAACTTACTTATGTAGTCACATACTCATTAGGATGCATTAGCAAACTAAATCGTGATACATTTATTACATACTTGATGATTGTAGTTCGAAAATCAATCTAAGTGGCGTGCAATGGGAGAGGCCTATGTCCAGCAGTGGACATGATGAATTATAGTTCTATAACATTACTTTAAGAATAGGTTAATTATATGTTTGTTGTTGTGATGTAATGAAAGGATAATTATAATAATTTTAAAATTTAGCCGCTCAAAAATAATATTAGTTTAGATGAGATATAGAGAATTTGAGGAAGAGGGAATTGATACAAAATTATTTTAAATGGGAGTGTTAAGTATTATTTCTTTATTGCATACCATAGAAAATACTTTAGTTTTTATGCGAATAATAACATAATTTAATTGCCACTAACACTAAAGTAAGTTGGGAGTTAAAATTCTAATCATTTTATCGATATCGATAAAGTGACATCTTGACCCGCGTCCCTATTGAACCATTTACACATGGTGTTTGAAACATTGATCGATTCAGGCGTGCGTGTTCTTTTACATCCTATACATCTTTGTAGCTCTCTCGCTGCCATGTTAAGGAATCTTTATATTCTGGATGGTCGTTCTGTGAACGGTATTTTTTTATTAAGTATAATTGATGTTGGTCACAAATATACCGCCTCGGTGGCGGAGTGGTAGTTTATGCGACTGCTGTGCTGAGGTCTCGGATTCGATTCCTGGGTCGGATGTTTGTATGATCTGCAAGTATTTGTTTCGGAGTTTGGGTGTTTTATAAGTATAATATTTTATTTTATTTTTTATTTTTACTTATTTGGTACAGTTACAGACAACAGATCATGCCTCACACAGTAATAAGTAACAGCGTATAATTTCAAATCTGAAGTCCAATTAAAACTATACACATCATTCACAATCGCGGTGATAGAGCTTCAATTAGGTGTTAGATCTCCTTTGAGGCGGCGAGTCTCCTGGCCGGAACTCCACCGTGGGACCTGGAGGCGAGAGCCCTTGCAGCACTGTATCAGTGGCGCAAGGAGGCGCAGGAGGTGGGTCGATGTCCCGAGATTCGAGAAATCGATGACCGGAAATCCCAACTCCGCCAGGTCATCATAGGGGAGTGGAGGGAACGACTCGGGCAACCGAGCGCCGGGCACGCCGTCATTGCGGCGGTAAGACCCGTTATGGAGGATTGGCTCGAGAGGCGTCACGGGACCCTCTCATACCGATTGACGCAGGTGATCACTGGGAAGGGATGTTTCGGAGATCACCTGTGTCTGATCCGCAAGGAGCCAACGCCTGAGTGCCACCACTGCGATGGCCAGACCGTGGACACGGCTCTCCACACGCTGGCAGAGTGCCCGGCGTGGGTTGAGCAGAGGCGAGACCTCGTGGCGGCCATCGGAGTGGGAGTTCTCTCGCTCGATAGCCTGATTGCGGCTATCGTGCGGAGCGAGAGTGCGTGGAACTCTGCCGTCTCCTTCTGCGAGCAAGTTATGCTCGCGAAGGAGGCGGCGGAGCGGGACCGGGAGAGGTTTAGAACTCTCCCGGCCCGCCAGGCCCGGGCACGGGCCAGGCAGCGCAGGCGACTCAGGCGCCGGAGGTCGCAGAACGACCTCCGTCCTCCATAAGCGCAGGCCTGGGGGTGACAGGTGAGGCCATCTGTCACCCTAGCAGAAGCAGGCCGGGGTGGCGGCGAGCGCGTTGCGAAGCGCGCTCGCTTTCAGGGAGCACAGGGAACATGGGGTTCCCACACGGGGCGGGGGTCGTCTACTCGTCTGTAGATGACCCGAGGTATGTCGGGGCACCAGGGCCTTCCTTTCTAGGGTATACCTGGTCCCCCGGCTATTAGTACCCGGCGAAGGCGTGCGGTTTTAGTCGGTTCGAGTCCGACATGCCACCGACAGGTGGTATCCGAGGGGATTTCCGCACGGAAAAAAAAAAAAAAAAAAAAAAAAAAAGGTGTTAAACAAACGCAAAAAAAGATTATTAAATAAGAAAATGAGATGCAGCAAATTGACTAATTAGTTATATCTACAAATGTGTTACTATAATTTTGTTACTATAATATATGTATGTATTTACAAAAAAAAGTGTGTGTGTGTGTATAAGTATTCTATCAGTCATTCTAGCTTTCATAGTACAAGCCCTGCTTAGTTTGAAACTAGTTGGCGTTGTGTTAGATATCCAAAATATTATTAATATTATATAATTTTTGGTGACATCCTTTTTTGGTATATTTTCGTTTTATACAGTACCTGACCCTGCAAACGTTGTTTTGCTATTTACATTATTTAAAAAAAAAAAAATTAATTTCTTAAAATCCGTTCTTAGCTGACCTCTACTCGTTGAAAAGAATATTCCTACCAAATTTCAAGTCTTTATCTCTAATGGTTCCAGAGATATCATGATGAGTGACTATATACGTGGAAATCTCTTATTTATATATAGATAAAAATGGGTTGTCACAAAGATTGTAAAATGTGTAGTCGAAATTAATTTAGCTTGAAAATTAAAATGGTTGGGTTTTTTTTTGTTTTTCGTAAAATGATTTTTCTAGTGTGTGAATTTGTATGTAACAAACATTTTATATTTTTGGGTAATTTTCGTTTAGTTATAATGTGTGAAGTGATGATGATGGGAATCCTCAGATCCCTCCCCTGCTTTGATCATCTGACCCCTGATCGAAAGTGACTACCGCCGTCCAAGAACACCTGCAACTCTTAGTTACTAGAGTGACTCAACAACTAACTGTTATTAGTAACTATTATTAGAATATCATCAACCTTTAATAGTCCACTGCTGACCATAGGCCTCGCCTTAGAAAGGAGGTTGTGGCCTACTATACCACGCTGGCCAGACGGGTTGAATGTTGGTTAGAATGTAAAAACACTGAAATGATTACTCTACTATTTAATAAATCTTCGGTGGTCTGTCAGTAACCCTTAGGCGACAATTTATAAATAAAAAACCTCATCACAAGAAAAACATCTGTTTCTCTTAATAATATTTAATATTATGATATCGGGGACATGAAATTATACACCTATTAGAACAAAATCGCCACACAAAAACACGAAAGGTGTTATTAAGTATTTTAATTTAATGTACTTACGTCATTATGCTATTAAGTGATTTGGACATATACTTTCATTTAAACTAGAACATATTTGGATAATAATTTTAATGACAGATTGTCATGTAGTCGAATTTCGACCATAATTGTTTGGCTAGTATACCTTGAGCTATTATTAGATCAAATTCCTTAACATGACAGATAAACATAAATACTGGACACATGTTTGATTGATGTTGCCGTTCTTCACGTGTTATTTTTGAATTTGGAACCCATACAGTTTAAAAAGTTAGGTTTTGGCACTTGTTCTATTCATAAACGCTGTCAGTCTATGCTCTTTTTACTTCTGCGTCATTACCCGCAACATAATAATCTTATATTACATTTTTAAATTATTTTCATAATGTCATGTGATTGATTGAAATAATAAAGTATTTTAGAACAATTACCAACTGTGAATTTAATTTCTGCAGAAGGCGAATGACGCAGAAAACTAACGAATTAACAAGAACCAATATTTACCTCCTCGTTTTGCATCATCATCAGCAGCCTATCGCAGTCATCTGCTTTACATAGGCCTCTCCCAGAAAGGTCTAGAAATTGCTATGTAGTCACTTTCCCAAATATAATAATTATTAATTTAGTTATTAAAAATGCTGATATTGTATACGCATATTTTTCCCACAGATTTGGGCAGCCCTCGCTGTCTCACTCGGACCGTTCGCGGCAGGTCTCAGCAAAGGTTACATGTCGCCAGCTATAGCCTCTATGCAGGACTCCAGGTCTAACCAAGGAGCATTCACGGTGAGCGATCAGCAGGCCAGCTGGATTGCAAGCTTGAGTTTATTAGGTAAGTTCATAATTTCTGCCATAGGACGTCTACTGCTGACGTAGACCTCCCTCAATAACTTTGAAGAAGACTTCACCTGTCCATGTTTTTGGTGGACATTTTAATTTACCCGTCTGCTATTTTGCCTCCTGATGAAGTCACCTTTCATCACCTGATGAAAAGTGATTACGGCCACCCATAGGCGCATGCCACTCTGGAGTTACAAGTGATATGCCACAAGGACGCTTGCTACTCTGAAATCGTAAGCGATTTGCGGGAGAAGGGCTCATAGGTCCCTCTCTCAGAACTAGGTGGAAGTCCGCTTTTTTTTGATGGTTTGAGAGATTTCCGCTTCATGGTCCACGGTCCATGGTCTTAAGTTCAGAGCCTTTCGGCTCCTTGGCCATCTATTATGTGAGTTACATGCCCAGTTCCTTGCCTTTTTTGACCTGATTAAAAATATATTGACCATTTACATATGCAGACTTTACTACACTACATATAACTGCCTTGATGGCGCAGTGGTAGCGTATGCGTCTGCTGTTCTGAGGTCTCGGGTTCAATTCCCGGGTGTGGCAAAATATTATTATGCTCTGCAAATATTTGTTTGGAGTTTAGGTGTTTTCTGTGTATAATGTGTATTTACAAAAAAAAAGTATATAAGTATTCTGTCAGTCAATGTAGCTTTCATAGTACAAGCTCTGCTTAGTTTGAAACTAGATGGCGTTGTGTGTAAGATGTCTGAAATGTCTCAAATATTAGAAGCACTCAAAAGCTTAACTAAAAAATTACTCTCGTAGGTAGATTTAATTGTTTCCGAGTTGACTCACAAATAAATACATGTTTTAAAATTAATTGCTTAAGACGAATGCCAATAAGGTAATGGATAGGTATTTATGTTTGTTATTTGTAGAATGGGTGGAAGAAATATCAAAAGCTTTATGAGATAGATTTCCCATTTTAAGTCAGTATGTCGATGTATATTTATACACGTCTTAATCCCCGAAGGGGTAGGGTATTAAATACTTATAGCTACTGGTAGACGAATGTTTAAGGCGTTGGACTGCACTAAGATAGACATCAAATTGTGGGTAGTTGAGACAGCAACAACAAAAATTTTAAGTGTCTGCATTTTATTTTAATTTAAATATATAAGTAGTTGTTATTAACATTTTTAAATAACAATTTAAATGTTGATATAATACACCTACCAGTGAAGTGTTATCTCCTCTCAAATATACTTCTTATAAAATATAATCACAACAACCACCGTGCACATTGAAATGAACATGAACATGAAGGACTCTTTTGCGACAATCATGGCGGGTATTGAAGAACGCATGGCTGCCTTCGAAACAGAGCTGCAGAGGAGTGCCAAAAACCCTAGCAGCACACCAACTGTGGCATCACTGACATCTGATTTCGCAGATTTCAAAGCCTTTGTCATGAGCACCTTTTCTGGCTTACGCAGTCAAATTGAGTTTTTGGCTCATAGCATGGAGATGCGTACTCGTCGGAAAATGTTGTTGTTGCATGGAGTTCCTGAGGATAATGATGAAGACACGGCACAATCGGTTGTGAATGTTGTGACAGGCCATCTTAACGTACAGGGTTTCTCAAAAGGTGACATAAAGCGATGCCACAGAATGGGCAGACCTACTGCTGCTAAGAAACCAAGACCTATACTAGTCAAACTCCAACTTACAACCGTTCGGGACAAATTATGGTTTGCTAAAACAAAACTCAAGGGGTCTGGTGTCACTTTGTCTGAATTCATAACCAGAACCAGACATGAGGTTTTTATGGCTGCACGTGAGCGGTTTGGTGTCTCCAAGTGCTGGACACGTGAGGGTCATATCTATGTCCTCGACCCTAAGGGAACACGGCATCGCATAGTCTCCCTCAGTGAACTTAATCGGCTTGATTGTGACACGCAGAAGGCAGTTCCAGCCGAAAAAGCTGCGGTGAAATCCAGTCGCCGAGCCGTAAACAGGAAATAGATGCCGCATGTTTGTTTCGATTATTGCATAACGTTCAGGTATTAACTTAGTTAATAGTTTTCTTGCTACCTGAATTTAAAGTTGTCTTTTGTTTTAGTGTACAAGCTGTTAAGTATAAAAACTATTATTATATTGAAATACCTCAACTTTTCTAATCTAAATTGATTCAAAATGAACAAACTCAAGGTAGATTGTTTTGATTAACTTGACAGTTTGACAGAATACGATCTGTGACACATTTATTCTAGTAGTATTTAGTAGTAGTAGTGGTAGTTATTCTTTCTGCTACTGACATTCTCGTTTAGTTTGTTTTGTATTTTTTTTTTTCGATTGATTTATCATATCAGTAGAATTAACTACCAGGTATAGCATGATGCGTGATAAATCTCCATCTTGTTTATTTTATTTGAATGTTTAATTTTTATTTTATTTATTTTTGTTTTAAGTTTCTTAATGTTGAGGCTTGGATTTGTAAATATTTTGAAATTTTACTTTACTGAGTAACACAACTGGCGGGTGGACAAAATAGTCAAAAAGACTTATAATATTTATCGTTATCCTGTAAGTATATTTATTTGTGGAAATATATATACATAAATCGATAGATTTGCAGCAGCTACGATGATAAGCTCAAGCAACAGTAGTGATGACGATAGTTTTCAATCAGCCAGCAGTCACAATGGAAGCTTCGTGAGTATACCTTCACTTTCTGACACAATACAGGCACATTTTTCGGATGTTCTCAGGAACTTTAATGTAGTCCACATTAATGCACAGAGTATTCCGGCCCATTTCCCAGAGATGCTGACTACCTTTGACTGTAAAAGTATTCATGCAATCCTTATTTCGGAGTCATGGTTAAAACCATGTCTTCCCTCTACGTCTTATTCCCTTCCTGGCTTCCAATTGATAAGAAATGATCGGGCGAATGGTGTGGGTGGAGGTGTTGCCATATACCTACGTCATAATATTCCTCATCGTATCATAGATTTGTCACCGCAACCACCACCACCAAACGCAGGTGAGCATCTGTTCTTGGAATTGGAGCTCTTTCACATCAAATTACTACTTGGTGTGTACTATTCTCCCTCCTCTCGTATAAATTTTCTGCCCTCATTTGAATCATTATTAGATTGTTTTACACCCACTTACCATCACTGTATCATCATGGGAGATTTTAACACATGTCTGATAAAAAATGATCATCGCTCTTCCTCCCTTACCAGTACAGTCGAGTCTTATAATATGTCTATTCTCCCTTTGAATTCTACTCACCACTTTCCTAATTCTACTCCGTCCCTTCTAGATCTTATACTCGTTTCCTCGTTAAATGCAGTAGCTAAGCATGGACAGTGCTCAGCTGATGAATTTTCCTACCATGACCTGATATTCCTTTCGTATAAACTACGCCCTCCCAAACCTAAACCCAAAATCCTTATGCAGCGCAATTTTAATGACATGAATCTCGAAACACTCCGACGAGATGCTGCTGGAATCGATTGGAGTTTGCTGGTAGAAATGAATTCCATCGATGAAAAAATCAATTTATTTAATGCTAAGCTAACCAGCCTCTACGATATACATGCGCCGGTCAGGGCTGTCAGGCTTAAACATTTACCCTCACCTTGGCTAACAGACGATATAAAAGCTTTAATAGCTAAAAAAGCTGTAGCCAAAAGTAAGTTTAAATCTCGGCCAACACCTATAAACCGAGAAAAATATATTACCATCCGAAATCTCTGCAGTAAGGCTTGTAGGAAATCACAACGCCAATACATTCACAATTCGGTCGAGAACGGAGACCCGGCAAAAATTTGGAAGTTTCTCAAAAAATTGGGAGTTGGTAAGTCATATTCACATTCTGATTCCAACCAAATCGACATCGAGTTGCTAAATCAACATTTCTCTTCTTCGGTTCAATTTAACCAGACCAGTAAGTAAATACCTTACAATATCTTTCCACGCTTCCAGCTCCTAATTACTCACCGTTCTGTTTTAATCAATTAACTGCTTGTGGTGTTAAAGAGTGTATTATGTCCATAAATTCCAATGCTGTTGGAAACGATTGCATAAGCCGTAACATGATCCAACCAATTCTTGATGAACTGTTACCTACAATATGCCATATCCTAAATTACTCCCTTTTTGCCAGTACTTTTCCGGAGGCATGGAAAGAAGCACTACTTATCCCACTACCTAAAAAGAAGAATCCCGCATCCTTCTCCGAGTATCGCCCCATTTCCATATTGCCCTTCCTTTCAAAAGTCCTTGAACGTCTTGTTCACATCCAGTTAAATTCATTCCTTAATAAAAACCAACTCCTAAGTCCTCTCCAGTCAGGTTTTCGTGCGGGTCATAGTACGGCAAGTGCGTTGATCAATGTTACTGACGACATCAGGCTTGGAATGGAAAATAAAAAACTCACAGTTCTTTCCTTACTGGACTTTAGCAATGCTTTTAATAGTGTAGATTTCCACATCTTGCTGGCCATATTGCGCTCTATTAACATATCTCCAACAGTAACTGATTGGTTTCAAAGTTACCTGTTTGGTCGAAGGCAGCGTGTGCGCCTTGAAGAATCTTTTTCATCTTGGTGTAAAACGTCTGCTGGCGTCCCACAGGGTGGCGTTTTATCTCCTCTACTTTTCACTATATTTATAAACTCTATCACTAAGTCATTAGCCTCATCCTACCACCTTTATGCAGATGATTTTCAAATATATACACAAGCACCGTTACATCAATTATCTGAAGCCTTTTCAACTATTAGTCTAGACCTGGCGCGCGTGTGTGACTGGAGCAATGAGTATGGAGTTGTAGTGAATCCGTCTAAGACCCAACTTATTGTTGTGGGCAGTCCCGGGATGGTATCAAGAATAGACTGGTCACAATTACCGAATATAATGTTCAACGGTACTGCACTACCAATGAGTACTTGTGTTAAAAATCTAGGGATTTACATTGATAATACCTTATCCTGGGGCCCCCAATTGCGAGAGGTCAGTCGAAAACTGTTTGCAT